AAAATGCTAATGTAGAGTGTAAAGACAGAAAGTTGCCAGGCATTGATGTTCATTGTTACAATAATTCTAAATTCTCTGTCTAACTAGGTTGTATAAGCTATTACTAGTCTACTTTTCAATTTTACAAGTATTTCATTTCATTTTTCAATTTTACTAAAAGAGCTCAAGAATAATTTTCAAAAAGATATAATACTATTATTTTAATATAATTTATATTATCTTATAATCCTATTATTAAAGCTAACAAAATAAGAAAAAAAACCAAGATTGCCAAAATAGTTCATTAAAAGAGCAAAGCATCTAACAATCTATTAAGAACACAAATAAACATAACACATCACCCTAATTAATGATTTTAAAGATGGCATATTGATTAAGCCTGAATGGGTTGATTCACACATCTTATGCCAGGTTTATTTTAAACATGTTTTGTTGCATAATCTTCAATGTTTGGATTCATACCACATACTGAACACAGAGAGACCAAGCTACATTATGGCTTAGCATAATGTGTAAATCCAGTAAAAAAGAAACACTTTTATTATCTATTAATCTTTAAGTCACATAAGTCTCTAAGAGAAAGTTCCGTTGCAAGGCCATCATTAAAAGAATGCTGTATTCCCAGCTGCCAAGGAAATTACTTCTGAAAGTGCAGCACCTGAAAAACTATTTTAGATAGTTTTTGGAAGGGATCATTTAGGCCACTGAGTCAGATTCTTGCACAATGAAAGAACTGAAATTAAAGCACACCCAACAGATTAACCTCTGCTTAAATTTATCCAGTACAGGAAAGCCCATCACCTTTTTGGGTAATTAGTTCTATTATCAAACTGCTCTTACTTTTAGCAAGCCTTTTCTATCAGTCAGTTGGAATTTGGCTTTCTGCAACTTAAATCCATAATTCCAGAGTACAAGGCTTGATATTTTCCATGAGGTCTCCTTTTAGTTATTTAATAGGATCTGCATTTAATACGATCCGCAGGATACAGCATTTCTGTCAAATTATGGCAACAGCATCACTCAATTGTGCATCACTAAATTGGAACACAATTTCTTCTCTTTCATACATGTGTGCAACATCCTGATACACATGCCAAAAGGGCAGAGTTGGTATTGTGTGATGCTACTTTTATCATTTTCCCCCATTACCCCCTGCAGAGGCCTCTGTTAACAGTGCGATCATATCCTTGTCAGTTCTCAAGCCTAAACATGCTCAGTTTCTTCAATCCATCTCTATAAGAATTTGTAATCCCTTAATGATTCTCACTGTCCTTCCAATTCTGTTCCAGTTTCTCTGAATTCTACTTAAAGTATGGTGACCAGAACCAGACACAGTATCTGAAGTGGATCTGATCAAAGCAGAATAAGGTGGAGCTATTATATCCCGTGATTTGAAAGCTATGTTGTTGTTGATTCAAACTAACACTGTATTTGCCTTTATAGAACTCATATTCAGATTGCAGTCATCTATTCCAGAATCTTTTTCACAGGTATTTCACTCAGGCAGGTGTCTCCCATCCTATAACTGTGCAATTGTAATCAACTCATACAATTTTTCTGTAAAACCTCTATGGAGTCAAAAAGTATATTGTATATTCAATGTACTTGAAATCACAACTTCACATAATCTACTGGTTCTAAATTTCTCAGAGAACTCATTCATAAATGTGTGTTTGCTTATCAGTTGGGTCCCTCAGTAATGCAAGTAATTTACCAATTACTTATTTAATTCTAAAGTTTTTGACGATGAATGAAGATGAATATTTAATCAAACCTAATCACTACAACATTTGCTTAAACTTCAAGAAAAAAATGCATAGGATTTCTTATCATAAAAAAATGCCCATGCCATAAATAAAAAACAGGCAGGCAGGCAGGCAGATTGATTGATTGATTGATTAATGATGCTCATGGTTTATCCAACTCCTCAAATGAATGTCTACTTTTTAATTCCTGAAAACTTTTTTTGAAACAAATTGAGACAAGTACTTCACTTTTGTACTAATATTTTTTTCATTTGATCTTCATATCAACCTTTCAACTACTTTATAAACCAAAGGACAATTAAATCCAGTATGAATAAATTTAATCCCCAACTTCTCCAAGCAAGTTCTTTTTTAGTAAGAAAGCAAGAGTTGGTCACGTTGTTTTGCTTAAACTGCAATGCTATCTCTTTTCTACAATCTTCTGCATATACATACACAAAAAATCTTTCAGATAATTTATTAATCCATGTTTTTCCAATTAAAAAATGCTTTGAAGAAAATCTTACCAACACCATTTCCTAGTTGGCTTATTAGATGCATATGTACATACACACACACACACACAAACTTCTATAAAGTTTATATTTCGTTTTGACAGTTTTCTAGAATTTCAAGAAAATGAGGTATAATACCTCATTATTTTAATCATTTGAAATTACTACAATGTTATTCCCTCCTAATGCTAAAGGATAAAGTCAGCTAATCATCAAAGAACAAAGGGCACTCTATGTTAGTGATTCCAAACTACTAACTGTAAAATGCAATAGAGAATCACAGTATTTTAACTTTATCTGAACAAGACATATATCTCAACTAAAAAAGCCTGATTACCATTTTACAAATATAACCAGATTCAGTTCTCCTCCATCTGAAACATGATATGAATGATTATCAAGAAACTCTGGTGTTTTTAAATTTTCTTTGCAAATTTTTCAAGAGTAATTCTGGTTTTAAGAAGAATCAGACTCTATAATCAGAACTTTTAAAAAGGTTCAAGTATATTTGTTAAGAAAGTTTCTATACCCAACCTAACTCACAATACAACCTTTTTCACTCGATCCATCCATTCTATGAAAGGTTACAGGAACTAAGTGCCACTGAAATTAATGGGACCTAATCAGAGGGAAGCTGCTCAGGATGAAAGCCTTAGTTAATCTTTCCATTCCAGGTGAGGTCCAAATGGTGTATTTAATATCTTAATTTATTTTCTCAAGCAATCTTCCAACTCCTATAATTGATATGGTTAATTTTTTATGGCCCAATTAATGACTAAGTGATAAGTAAACACAATGCATCTTGGAGGGAACCATTCTGTGCAATCAACAGTCTGGGTTACCATAGTCATAAGTAACAAATTCCATTTCTAAATGACAGATTTAAGAATTCTCAACATCAGAAATAAGAAGCTGGATTAAATTGTCCAATTACCTTCCTAGAGGAAAACAATTCAGAAAATATAAACATTTATGAAATACAGTTAAAGATTCAAAAAACCTAACAGACTGAACCTGCTGCTAAGTTATTATATTACTGACAAGTTCTCTCAAATAATTTGTTTGGCTTGCCCTCTAAACATCCCCAAATCTTTGAAGCCTTTAGCCATAATTTACTCACTCTTACAATCTCTTAAATTGAGGTTGTAGATTACTGGATGAAAGAACAAATCAATTCAGAGTTTACTCAAAACACAAATGTCCAAGCTCAAATGGTATTTTGAACACATCATGTAAAGACCTAGATCTCTTGAGAAGTCTATAATGTTGGAAAAGGTAGAAGGAAAGAGATGACCAACAAGATGGCTGTACTAAATACAGCAGCGATGGGTGCACCATTGGAAGACCTGAAGGACCAGGCTGGAGACAGATTTTCTCTAGGATTATCTATCTATGTGGTCTTCTAAGAGTTGACACTTGGTGGCACATGATCATCAATCAGATTATTAGTTCAAAAACTTTATTCAAAAAAGAACTCTGCTCAGTCATAGATATGGACTACTGTCCACTGATTGGCTTGACTGGAAATATTTTCAGTTCCTAAATTCTTCCTACTGCATCACTTGGAGTACATTACGTGTACAACACTATATTTGTTTACTACAAATAAAGTTTTATAAAGTCAGTGAAGCATAATCCCTACTAAGTGTGTTAAGAGCTGTACCCTATGTTTTGTACTATTATTTAATCTATTTTAGTGATTCTAAGGTTCTAGACTAATAATTACTTGTACATGAACACTAGTAATTTAAACACACAAACATATCAAACCTGTCTAAGTAAGTATTTGTCCATGGTACAAGAAAACTACTGGCTCTTCAATGAATGTTTATCTACCAGATGAATTAGAATGGTTCCAAAGATTTAATGCAACATTACCCTATATAAAATACTCCATAAAATATTTTTAAAAACCAGGAAATTGCATCCAAGAGAAATCCCAGCATGTGCCTGAAGACATTAAAGATTTATAAATCACATCAAAAGACTGGAAATTCAAAGTTAAAAAAGTCACCTTCCCCCATCCTCAAGCAAAGCCAACAAGGCTCTTTCCAATAACACTTGATCACCTAGGCATCCCTCAAATAAAACAGCATGTGTTGGAACCAGCACCCCCCCCCCACAAAAACCCCCAAAACTTGTCCATTCTGCTAAAGAATGTGGAGTAATATTAGTTTTGGATGTTTCATGTTTTGCATCAACGCTGCTGGCTTGCCAAGCAAAGGTGTCAACGTACTTTCAAAAGAGAAGACGATAACCCTTCCTTTCGCCTTCTCCAAAGGGGGCACGGCTTCTGCACACATTTTTGCACACTACCAAAACACTTTTGTGCGCAAGAGGGTCTGGGCAAGTCGCGGCTGTCAGCGCCGCTACCTAACGTCCGGCACCCACCCTTCCCTTCCTCGTGGCGAGACTGGAGAGGGTAAGGGGTGGCCGTGGAGTTGGGGGGGGAGCGGGTAAAAAGGGAGAGAGAGAGAAAGCGCAAGCCAATGGTTACACTTTACCGTCTCCTCCTTTCAGTCATATTTCCGTCCTCCTCTAGCGAAACTGGGGGAGGGAAGAGAGGCAGGCTCGCAGTTTGGAAACACACACACACAGGGCCCCGCCAAGAAAAGGGAGAAGCGAAAAGAAACTGAGGAGAGGGGGCGCCAGGTTTTAGCCCTCACACACCCCGAAAAAAACGGGGGGCGGGAATAAGGAAGGCGGGGACGAGAAGAGGGGGAAGCACGGGGGCTGTTACCTCGTAGAGTTCCTCGGAAGCCATGCTGAGGCGCCCGCCTGCCGCCTGCCTCCCAAGGTGGAGTTGGGTGCTGGTTTGGAGATACTTTTGTCTCACTTGGTGTCTGGCGTGGCCTGCGCTGCTGCTGCTGCTTCGCTTCCCCCCTCAGATATGCGCGTATCTGCCTCGCTCCACAGCGCTCCTCTCCTCAAATGCCCGGGTGGTGGTGGTGGTGCTGGTGCTGGTGGTGCCTCTGCCGCCCTCCTCCTCCGCTGCTGGTGGTGCTTGTGCGCAAACCAAGCTGCGCAACGGGGCTCGCTCACTCACACTCACACTCACACTCTCGCACACTTTGCTCGCGAGGCGCGGGAGAGCGGGGAGGGGGAGGGGGAGGAGGTAGCAGCTGCAAGGACTCCCTGTACCCGCCGCCGCCACCACTCGGTGTCCCTTCCAGCGCCTCGCTCCGGCGCCTGGCTGACTCTCCCTCTAGGATCACTAATCGAGCGCAGAGAAAGCGCCACACGGCCGGGCTCTCGCCTCGTCTAGCGCCATCCTCTTCCTCCTCCCCCTCCCCTTCTTTGATCGCCCATTGTCTCCTCAGCTGAGCGGCGGCGTGAGGGGGCGGCGGGGATTGGGCCAATGGCCGCCGGGAGAAAGGGGGAGGAGCGACGAGAGGGAGGAGGGAAAGGAGGAGGAGCAGGAGGAGGAGGGAGAAAGTGGTGAGGGGGGGCTGGTCTGCCATATGCATCGTTGGAGGAAGTGGTGGTGGTAGTGGTGGCTGTCTTGAAGGGAAGACTGAGCCCAAGTTTTGAGGCTGTTGGGACACTCCTGGCCAGAGCTCCACCTCCCATGAGGTTCTAAGGGAGGAACAAAAGTGGCTTTCTTCATCCCTGTCTTCAGTCAAGCTGACACAGAAGTTCATCCCTCCATTTTCTTACTTCACCATTAATCTTCATTTCCATTGGCATCTGAACCCCAATATTCTGCATCTATTTAATTATCCAGCTACATTTACCACCTTCTCCTCCACCTCTTCCCTTCCCATCTTTTTCATTCATTTTATTCCTATACTTCATTTTGTCCCACCTAGCTGTGCTGTCTCATGCCCTTCCATAGTTATTTTGGCAATAATGTTCAGACTGGCTGTTGCTTCCTCCTTTCTATCTACTCATTTGCCTATCCTGTTTACATTTCACTTCCATTCATCTCCATCTTTTCATGTAGTTTTTCTTGGTCTTTGACATCTTCTTTTGGTCTTTTTCAACCTCTTTTGCTAAATGGTCTCTCGCACGATCAACAGTTGTCCTTTCCTCCTTCACATCTCATTTACTATCATATTCATTTGTCTTTTGGTTCCTACCTAATCATATGCATTCTCTAGCTATTTGGATTGTCCCCCTTCACATTGCCATTTTTATCCACCTACAACTTTTTTACAGTTTTATATTCATGGCATACAGTCTTCTTTTGCTTCTGTATTCTTATCTCTGTTCATCAATCCAGCATTTTTACATCCATTTTCTCCTCTCCTTTTATATGCTGTCCATCCTTTCCCATTATTTTCTTAACCAATCCATTATATATGAACTTGCTTATTTCTTCTTTACAAATATCCCCTACTCATCATCCTTATACAATTTCTTTGTCAAATATTCCCACTCATCTTTACTGTCACTTTCATCTACTTTTATTGTTGCTCTCTCTCAAACACTCCTGTTGTCTATTGATTCCATCTGTCCATTTGCTATCTATTGGTATCTTACATTCAGCTATTCATCTATTCATCTATTCATACATTCATCTTTTATCTCTTTATCTATTTACACATTTTGTTTAACCCAATTCCTGTCATATTTTATATAAAGCATTCAGAACATCCGTTGGTTATACATAATTGTTTTTGTGCCTGCTTGTACAGACTAAATATTAGTGGACGTTTTGAACAAGATAGAATAGCAAAATGATTTGTGAATAGCTTCTTAGCAAATTTCTTCCATCACACCAGCAGAAAACAAAATTGCCTCTAAAATGGCTAACTAAAAGCCTATCATCTACTTAGCTAAGGCAAAGCACAGGTAGATACATTTAATGATTTCTCAACCAGGTCTACAAGGGGAGTAGTATCAAGAGTAGCTAAAACTGGAGTTTTTACAGTTTGGGTTAATTAATAATTTAGTTGATTATTTGCATATGGATAAAAGATTTCAGGAAACAAATCATATTTTAAAAATTGGGATATAATTTCTGGAATGAAAAAACATGGTTTTTCAAGTTTGCAGAACATGGGAAAATTAAAAAACAGTAAATATAATATAGGAATGCAGGGCTCATATGTCACTCTTTGACCCAGATTTCATAAGAATAGTTGGCTTATATTTGGTTTATATAACTTTTCTATCTAACTAAAAACACGTGAAAGCCTTGATTGACCAAAGCCACAATAGGCAGTGGAGGTCAATATCTAGGAACCAATTTGATGATGACCATGGTATAGGGAGTTCAAACAAAAGAGGAATAAATGTGCAGAATATGAATTAATAAATGAAAAAAATTGATATGTTGTACAATGTCTATGAATCTAAAAGAAAGGGAACAATGGAATAGATAGGAATGAAAAAGTGGTCTGATCTTGAGGAGTGGCCTTCATGAATATATGCAGGGAAGTTAAGGTGTAGATTTAATTGTGAATGATAGGAGTAGAATGTATGTCAGAGAGTTTGAACTGGAGTCCTGTAGGTTGTTAATGGGGAATATGAAAATAAGAATCCATAGGTTGGTTATAGTTGTATGTTTGTGCAACATTCTGAATAAACGTGATCCATGGGAAAAAGTGTTGTTAGATAACATGAAAGGATAAGGGAATGACTGAAAAACACAGAAAACGTTTTTGGGCCACTGGAGATGCCAGAATGGATGAGAATAGTGACTACTTGGTGAGTACATACTTGGAAAAAACGTTTGCTTGTTTCAAATATGTGATTTAAGCCTAACTGAGTACATAGTACACATGGTACAGGAATTAATATAAATCTAAGGGCATGACTGATTTGATTGTTTATACTGAAACACTGAGAGAATAAGTGAAGGATATGGTAGCATCAGAGACTCTAAATGAAAAATAGACCATTTTTTGGTAATGCCAAGAATGGATCTTAGGAAAAAATTGACATGGAAGAAAAGAGGAAAAGTGAATGAAATCAGAGAGTAGGAAGAGAAAATATGAGTCTTCTATGAAAAAATATTAGAAAATAGATTAATATTTCAACCAAATGAGTGGAAAATGAACATGGGGAAAAAGGATGTGGAAGCTGTTTGGGGGAGAGTGAAAAGACTTGTGTTACAAGTGTGTGGAGCTACACTAATGGGGCGTATGAAAAAAGATGTGTAATGGAATTAGAAGTATATGGATGAGAAAAAATGCATATAAGAAAACAATTGCTAAAAAATAAGTTTTTCTATGGTGTGCATAAAATATAGTTGCAAAAATATAGTAAAGAAAAATAAAACTTAATATGAAAAGAGACAGAGCTATTTTATGGAAATAAAAAGCTGGCTTGGAAGTAGGTGACCAAAGCTAGGCAGGGAACCTCCAGCAGAGTGAACAGAATTAAAAATAAAAGTGATGAAATGATTTGGGATGAAAGTAAAGTAAGGCAATGATGGAAGGGGTATTTTAAAGATGTGTATGGAATTATAGTGGCATGTTGAAGACTAGAATTGAAATGAACACTATAAATGTTAATGTCAAGAAAAAAACATGAAAAAGAAATAATAAAGGTGATAAAAATTTAGAAAATGGCAAGACTACAAGTTTAGATGGTAGTACTGGAGAAATGTTAAAACATGGGTATGGTTTAGTTATGAAATGGCTGTGCAACTTGTTTATTAAGTGCGTGCAGGTTACATTCCTGCCTGATTGTTGGAAAAATGCTATTACTGTACCCTTACACAAAGGAAAAAGTGGCATGAGTGAAGGCAAAACTACCAGGCAATGAATTTGTTACAGGCACCTGGGAAGCCATTTGGCAGAATTCTGATCACAATGGTATGAGAAGTAACACTGTACAAAATTTGGGAAGTGGAATATGGTTTTTGCCAGGCAGTGGGTATGAAGACCAGATTTTGCTCTTCCACAGGTCATTTACAAATGGAAGGATGTAAAAAAAGAAAATGTACTCTATGATTGATTTATTTTATTTGAATACAAAGTTAAAAATTGGTTGCTGAATGCAAAGCAACATATGATAGAAGTAAACCATGTATGAAAATTAATAAAATTTATAGTGAAAGGTTTCAGATGTGCATGGAATAAGACAGGGATATGTGATTAGCATGATTAATATATTTATGAATAAACCTCTAAGGAATGCTTGTGGTGATGCTTGTGGTGACGGTAGAGATATGTTGATAGGGATGTGAATGTATGTGGGCTTTGTTAATGATGCAAATGATGTAATGTTGTCTAAGAACCTGAATGATTTGCTGCAAATGTTAGAAAGGAATATGGATCTGAAAGGTGATGTATGTAATGACCAAGAGGAATGTGTTTGACAGGTGAGATAGGGTGAACAATTGCAAGTTATACATACATAGACTAAAGCAAGAATATGTATTATATTTTAGTAGAATATTTACTAAAGACAGGAAATTGAGAAATTTTAAGATCTGCAAATGCTGATTAGAAGTTTGCATGTCATCTGTTGTGGGGAATTAATGCTTGTTGAAGCAATAACTGAAAACATTGTTAAGTGTGCTTCTCCTGACTTATATGGAAGTGAAGGTTGGTTATGTCAGGGGAAATATAAGAATAAGCTGAATATATAGGAAATGGAGTACCAAGAATGAATAGGTGCTGAATTAATATGGACCGAATACAAAAGTGAGTGATCGGTATGAAAGCAAGAAATGCACTGTGGTACTTTGCTCATACAGAGAGCATGAATGATGATCAAATTGTAAAACAAATATATGAAGGAAGAGTAAAAGAGTCAAAAGGAAGAAGACTGAGAAAGCAGTGGTTGGACAGTATTGATGAGATCCTCAAAAAGAAAGAGGTGAGAGGTTTAAATAAGTTGTCACAATGTATGGAGAAGTATATGGACATGGTGGAAGCACCAGTGGTTTGCAAGGATGGAGTTGGTTTGAGGGTTGTGTAACATAAAGTAGATTCTGCTCTACAATGTTTCCTTTTTTTTCCTTACCTCATACCTTTAATTTGATTGGCTTACTATTACTTACTCCCTTTTCACACTTCAGGAAGGAAACAGCCAGTGGATGGATGGATGGACAAAGCGTTTTAACAAGGATTCCTGCTCCATTGAATATCTTCTGACAAGAAATGGAAACAACTGGATTATAAATTCTTTTTTCAGTCTTACTGGGAGTAATGAATTTGTCTTCTACCGGTGTGCTCTTGTGTATTTGAATTTCACATTGCAATGAATATGGAATATTTGCTGCAGCGGGTGTAGATATTTCAGCAGTTTCATCGTCTGCGTATAGATCAGAAATTGCAGTTATAAAAAAGTTCAGTTACAATTGCATTTGGGTATCTGTGTTAGGAGATACTTAACAGTTCCCACATTGAGTTTCTTTAGTCTGCCAGAAACTTTGGAGTGTCTTGAACTTTCAGACTGTTACCT